CTTCTTCTAAATGATTGGATAATGAAATTTTAAATTTATTTAAAATTTCTTGTAAAATTGTTAATTGTGGTAGACCATTAAGAAAATAAAGATAATAAATAATTATTTGTATAAATTGTCGTTGATCGTTTAATTCAAATATAAATGGACGAATAAAACGCTGGAATGATATATTTGATATATCATTATCAATTTGACTAGCATCAGTTAATGATTGAAGAAGTTTTGAATGAAAATGAATACCATGATTAAGGATTTTTAATTGATAAAAATCTATTCGTGCTTGTTCAATTGAAATCCATGATTGATATGTTGAATTAAATAAACTATTTTCATGTTCAGATAATAATGAAAGTTCATTTTCAATATATGATATTGGATTTTCTACTTCAATTTGTTCTCCAAAACTAAATAGAAAAATATTTTGAAATAAATATTAAAATAAAATATAACGTGTTTTTTTGTATACCGTAATTTATCTGTATCCCATGTTTTTTCAATTGTTTCTAATCGTTGGAAAAAATCAATTTTTATTTCAGTTGTTAAATTCATATGCAATTCAATCATTGTTTGATAAAGACCAAGTGCTCGTTCACAATAACCAGCATCACGTAATACACATGTCCATGTTTGAAACATGTCTAAAAAAATAGATCGAAATTTTATGGTTGTATTGTTTTTTCTTCAGTAATTATGTATTTGACGGCTTTTATTTACTGTTGATAAGGTAGGTACACTGTAGGGTTTAGGTGTGCACCAGTGCGAGTAACTGGATCCCTGTCGGACTGGGTACTTAGTCATTTGACGTTTATTCCGCTAATCGATCAGTACTTTCCTCTTTTCTAAGGGTGTGGGTGTGGGGGTTGGTTTGATGTTGGTATGGGTGTCGTTATTGTCATTCTAACCATTTCCGCATCCAAACAATATCCACACCCATATCCATCCAAACAACATCCACGCTCACACCCACACCCACCCACCCACATCTACACCCTAGCCATACCCACACCCTGAAGACATGAAATTCATTTATAGTATTACAAATTATAACGATTGATATATAGAAATATATGATTAGCCAATGGATTCAGTATCATAACTTATATCACTACTTCAACAGCCTAAAAATCACTGTATGACAATATACTAGAAAAGAAAGTACTACTCGACTAATGGACTAAAGATAAAAGGACTCAGTATCCAGTCGTGACTGGGACCCAGTTCACCAGTCAGAACTGGGACTGGTGCATCCCTAGTAGGGTTACGCACATGCATTTAAGGAAACTGTTATCAATAATGATTTTTATTTTTTTTCCTCATGTGCAATATATTTTTATGTGCTTTACGTGCTTTTCGATGTTAGAAAAAACATAACATAAAGTTAGATACTAAAATCTCATCATACCTATCATATGATTTAATAAAAATCTTCGTTCTTTTTCACTACGAGTTTGTATATGATATACATATGTTGAAAAATATTGTATAAATATATCATTTAATTTATCAATTGAAAATATTTCAATACGATTAAGTATAAATTGTATATATGAAAACCATGCTTCATTTATTGTTCGATCATCACTTGATTTTTGACAATCTTTTATTAATACTGTCCATTCATTTAAAAGTATATCATAACTAAATAAATGCGAATGTGTACGAATATTTAATTTTAATAAACGATATTGTAAACGATTTGAATTAAGTTCTATAGCTCGATCAATTATTGATAACTGTTTATTATATAATGCAGTTAATTTTTCTTGTTGTCCATTTGTTTTAAAAAGATAAAATTGGTAATCAATTAATTCTTTCCAAGCATCAAATGAATGTGGTTGTTCACGAACAGTAATATTTAATTGTTCGAGACGATTGTCTACCGTAACGAGGGAATCTGGCGGTCGATTATTAAGATCTTCCGTTTTATGATGAAAATAACGAATAATACGTTGTTTACGAGATGGTTTTGTAATTCTAGAGCCCAATGGACGCTGATTACAAAACTTAGCGCCATAACGAGGAATACCATGAGTATATTGAACAGTTATATTAGCACGGTCACGACGACGATCGATATAAAACACATCACTACAGCAGAAAAAAAGCAAATTATGAAAATTTTCTTTCTTTTCGCATTTCTGTTCTTTAATAACTTCTAACAAAGTTCGTACAGTCTTTGATCTCAGAACACACCAAGTCGTCTTTAAGATTCGCTATATTTTTCTGTTTTCATTTATTTTACGTTCTATGGCTATTTAAATACATATTATAAACTCTTCCTTATTACGAGTCATTAAATCATATGTGCTGTGACGTATTTACTTTTGAGGTAAACAAGACACATTTTATTTTTCTATGATTGGTATTTTTGTAAACTGATGTATGTCAAGATTTGCTCTGTATCTATTTTCAAATCATTGGATATGACAGAAAAAAAACTTAGATACAAACTCTTTGGCTTCATTTTTCTTTTCTACGATGTGTTGAATTGGTTTTGCGATTGGTTTCTTTTCTTCTTTTGGTTTAACATCAATAAGTGGATCAAATTTTGTTGAAATAATTGTCTGTTGTTGAAAAGATACGATTGGTCGTTCAATAGAAAATGATTTATTCTCAAGCCAAGTACTTTCTATCAACAGAGATTATATTGATTGACAACATAAGTTTATTTTACTTACCATTAGCACTATTGTTATTCGATGATGATGATGATGATGACGATGACGATGGCACTATCGACTTTTTATCTTCTTCATTTTTTGCTGACGATTCGGAAGAAGCATATGCTTTGAACATTGTTTTTTCTTTTAGATTCTAATAATGTGTAACATCTAGAACAAAATTAATATGCTTGTCAGCATTTACTAATAACATCCTATCTAGAAATGATTTTATGTATTCTAGCTAAATCGGTTATAAATATGATAAAAAAAAAAGCTGAATTGTAACCAAAAGATCCAGTTTCACTTTGGATCAAAGTATTTCATACTATCTTATCATATGAGATCACTTTTCTTCGAAAATTTCTCACTACGGATATAGTAGAAACAAAATAAAATGTATCAAAATATATTGTCCTTTAAGCATATGTATTCTAATGGGAAATTATTATTTTGACAAGCTTTTTAATTGCCACTATTCCGGAAAAGCTTGGACAAATTGTCGAAATCCCTCACAGAACTATTTTGTTTACAATCAGGTAAAAGATATCCTTACGAATGTTTATATGTTCTATATAGAGAAAAAATCTTCAATTCTCAAATTAAGCCTAAACAAAAAGAGAATAGAAAAAAAAGAAATCTGTCATAATGAAAAGAAAACAATAGCTTGAAGCTACATGACAATCAATAGTTTATTAATTTTTATATACTAGATTAGTCTTTTTTCCAGTTCCTGTCGATAAAATTGAAATATTTGTCTAGCTATTGGTTGAGCAATAGATATAGCTTGTTCCAATGTTTTCATATCAAAATCGCCACTTGCATGCATAGCTAATATATCATTTAACGTTATTTCAAAAACAAAAACAAAATAACTTGTCGATGCTAATTCGTCTTTTGTTTTAGGCAATGATAAAAGACCTTTTGTTGGATGTTGAACAATAGGTACAGCAGCAAATGCATATTTCATTGGTAAATTTGCATCAAGCATTGTTAAACAAAGTGTATTACATAAACATGCAAGTATTGTTGCTTCACCAGATAAATTTTGTTCTTCATACATAACAATATTAATTTGTGAACGTGGATAATGTTCAGTTAAAACAGTTGAATGTACTAATGTTTCAAGCCATTGTTCAATAAGTTTATCTTTTGTTGATGTTGAATTTGTACTATTATTGCCTGGACGAGCTTGAAATGTAATATCAACTTGAAGACGATTCGTTGCATCTTGTTGTTGTCGTAATTCACCAGGTCCATTAAGAAGACATGTACATAATGAATCATTCAATGTAAATGTTGCAGAACCAGTTGCTTTCGAGATTGGTGATAATGTGCAATGAAGACATGAAAATGTTGATGTATCATTTTCATTAGTTTGTGATGATGTGGTTTCAGTCATCTGAAAAGAAATTTTTTTTTAATTTTTATGTACAAACAAAAATAAACATACATAATATTATTTCAAAAAATACGAAAAAGAAAAAAAGAACTATTCTCATTGTGTTAACCAATCGAGTAATGATGATAAATTCATTCCTGTTCGGGCATTTGTTTCTATTATTTCAACTTCTCCCTTCCAAATCGAATCCAAATCAAGTAATTCGACCAAAGCTGTTTTATTTAATGAATTAATTTCATTTGTTTTATTAAAAACTAAAAGAATATTTTTCGGTTTAATTGGTATTTGTTCACATATTTCTTTTAATTGTTCAAATGTAAATGAAATAGACCATGGCTGTGTCGAATCAATAACATAAATAATTTTATCGAAATGTGTACTCATATAAAATATTTTCCATAAACAGCCTAATGTTGCACCAAGTTCATGTAATTCAAATGATTGATGACGTTTATTTTTTATTACAGTTAATGTTTTTCCAATAGTTGCTGTTGTATAAAGAAATTCATCATTGATTATTTTTGATGATGAACACAGTTCTTCCAAACGTTTTATTAAAAGACTTTTTCCACTCCAGCGACTTCCGAGTACAAGAATTTTTTTTGCTAATATATCAGACATTAATCTATGTATGAAAGAAAAAGCACAAAGAAAAAAATTTCAATGAATGTTGATTCTTTTAATTGTATTTTATTTTAACAAGAAAAAAACAATGTAAAACCTGACAACATTCATGTCCTAAAAAAACAAAAAAAAAGTTTTTCTAACAATCATAACAGAAAAAGATACTTAAGGCTTTTTGTGTAGTGTTTCTTGTTTACGAGAAAACAAAAGAAGAAATAAAGACAGATAGAAGAACAAAATGAAAAAAGTTTGTTTGTGTTGCTACTTATCATGCCACATTTAGAGAAGAAGGGACAAAAAATGGACTTTAACTAATTCTGATTGATTGATACAACTTCCCCACCATTTGTTTGACTATCACACGATGAATACGGAGGTGGTGGACTTGAAATTGATGAATATGATGGTGGTGCTGATGATTGAGATTGATTAAAAGTCGAGGATGGATTTATTTGAAATAGATTTGCTTGTGGCCAAAGACGATGACATTCAAGACGATATTTTTCAAGTATTGAAAATTCAATTGAACCATAATCACCTGATTGCATATTTTCATAAATACTTGAACATACCTGAATAGATATAGATCAAGATGAACACATGGGAAAACAAGAGAAAGCAGAAACACCAACTTTTAAATTTTGATCGATAAAATTTGAATTTAATGTTGTAAGAAATTCAATAGCTTTGAGATTGTTCTTTGGATTAATAAGAAGCATGACTTTGACAGCTAAATATGAATGGAATTGTGAGTAGATTAAATAAATGATAGATTTTTACCTTCAGCACGATGTGATAATGAATTTGAATGATTTTTAATGAAATTTTCATTGAGTTCTTCAATGTTCTTTATTGAATCTCCTTGTTTAATACCAAGTGTTTTTAATTCTTCATCAATTAATGTTCGTAATCGTTCATCAGCTATAGATTCGCTTTCAACTACAATCAAGAAAAAAAAACATTTATGAAATAGATCTTTGATTTTATTTGTTTTTTTTTTCTATCTAACCTAGTTTTAAAAATTTCATTAGGCATGAATGAAGTTTAGCATTGTTTGCATCTAATTTTTTCATTCGTTTTAAACAACGCAACATTAATAAATATTTTCCTAAAGAAAATTTATGAATTAGTTTTTTCTTTTTCGTTAGTTTTATTTGTAACATACTTCGTCGATAATAAACTTCAAAACCTAAATAATGTGTTTGAATAAAATTACCAGAAAAATCTTCAAGTGGTTGCAGAAATCTCATAGCTTCTTCTAATGGTTTTTCACACTGAAAATATAAATTGATAAGTAAAAAGAATATAATAATAACTACTATTAATGTACATGTTCAAGTTTTTCAGCGACAATTTCTTCTTCTTTAACTTTTTCTTCTTCACCATCATCTTTATTTCGACTACGTTGAAATTCTTTTTTACGTCGTTCAGCTTCAATTTGTTTTTGTTTTTCTTGTTGTTCACGTAATTGTTGTTTACGTAATTTATTTTTTAATTTTTTAGCTTCACCAGCTGACATATTAGCTAAAAATAAAAGATCATTGACATTCAGCAGTACATATTTTGCTGATTAAAAATTGCTTCACATATATTAAAGTTTTTCGTTCAACCACTTTTCGTTTTCTAATTTGAAATCAGTTTTCAATTTGACACTTTACTTCCCATAGAACTCATCGCGTAGAGTTAGTGGTAATTCAACCAGATAAACAACTTAAACAAATGTTAATTATGACACTAGTATGGCTCAAATTGGGCCAAGTCTTTTCACCATGGAGATGTAGAGTGGGTAAAAAAAATGACCCAATTGCATTTCATGACATGGGGATTGAATTTACTGTTGTACCAGAATAGTTAATGTTCATTGTCTTTTAATAGTATGGACTCATTGGTTTTGGTTTCTACTCGATATAATCTATTCGTATTGCTAAGGCCCTTATTTAGAAGGCAGACCATAATAGAAGCTGCGAATTTCTATTTTCTGTCGACAATAAGTCATTTAAAATCGCTATAAAAAGATTTTTTTGACCGGCTATTAGTTCTAATACGGTGTTCAGTATGAATGATTGTATTATTTTATGAGTTAATATTAAAAATAGAAAACTGTAGAAAAATCATTTTTATGTTATTCACTACGAATGGAGTAAAAATGATCCAAGCTGTCATGAAAAATGCTACTTTCACATTTGTGATCAAGAAAAGTTTTTTTCACTTTCTTTGAAGAAAGCACCGTTTTCTAACTCTATATCTTAGTCGAAAAATAATGTAACGAAGTTTAGTTCTTTTTCAATTTCTTGACTTATTAAACGCTCTACACAATATTCGAGATTTGTCTCGATCCGTTGCTTTATCCCTTCAAATAGATAGTTCCCATGAATATGTCAATAATTGCCCAACAGGAAGTAAAGGGTAATGTTAAACAGTCATTTCTAGTTTGCTAGTCTTTTAATTAAATTTCGCTTTGTAAGAAGTGTGAAGACGAAAATACTCAAATTCATTATGTTCGGTTGTTCTTAACTGCATAGATATCCAAAAGTTAAGTCTAAGCGGTTTGAGTTCGATATTGATATAATATGTACTTAAGATTTCATTCTTAAATAACACATCAAGATCTCTCATTTTTGAAAACAATTCAGGTATTTCATAAATTTTAATAGAGTCTCAATTGAATATCATTCATTCTAAATACGGACTGTGAGATTTAGTATAAATTTATTACATAAATTGAAGCTTTAGTTCATTCATGTTTACTCTCGAATAAAATCAAAATTTATCATCATTTTCTTTTGTAAACAAATCCAGAGATACTTGTATTTTTCTTACCAAGATTGTCATTTGTATCATTATCTTGTTCAGACAGAGGATGATCATATAGACGAATATATATCTAAATAATAAAAATAAATAATTTTCTTTTTTTCCTTTCTAATTTTTATTTATTTACTTCAACAGCAATTTCGGCTGCCTGACGAAAAAATCGATGACCTTTCATATGATCTTCGAGGTTGAGCATGTCAACATAAGCACATAGCACCATTTTACGAAGACAATATGAATGAAAATCAAATTGATCTTCAATAAACTCTTGAAAATGCTTGACAAAAGCAACAACAATAACAGCAAAAACTTTTACTAACCAAAAAAAAACAAACAAACAAACATACTCGATCGATTTCATGACATTTTTTTAGAGCTTCACCATATTTTTTTAAACGACGATAAGCTCGAGCCATTTCTATTTCAAACCACATACATTGCATTTCACGAAGATAATCGGCTGGTGAAGAATTTTCCTTCATATAAAAAAAAATCTTATAAATTTTTACAACATAAAATACAACAAACATTTATACTCGTGTAAATTTTCCGGCTATTTCAAGTGCATTATTTATTTGATTAGCACGTAATAAATATTTTGTACATTTACAATTCACAAATCGATCAGCTGTATCAAGTGCTTGAGCTTCATCCATCCATGAAGCAGCCGTTTGAAAATCACCAGCATGCTATTTATAAATAAGATAAATATTATTGAAAAATTAAGAAACAAAAAGAATAAACCTTGAATATTTTTGCTTTAAACATATAAAGTTCTACAAGTGTTGGTGTATCACATAGAGCTTGATTAATGTATTCAAATGCTTTATTTATATCACCCAAATAATCATAATGTTGAGCAAGATAATACTGAAGCCAAAGAAGACTTGTGGGTGGTTCGATTTCTTTTGTTGAATTTTCAATACCTATTGATGATAAAGAGGTTATTTTCTTTTTTCATTCAAATTATTGAGAATATTTATTTTATCAGAGTTTCAACAAGTAGATAAAATCATACCTGATGAAGTTTCAAATGTTCCATATTTAGTTAGATTATTTAAATAAGTGCGCAGAAGTGTATCAATTATATGAACCTGTAGAAGAAAAAAAAAACAAATTCTACTTTAAATATAAAGAAAAGACAACTGACTTTTTCTGATGTTGCATATAAAAACTTAACAGATTGAAACAGTGATGGTACACCTTTTTGAAGTCCTCTCTGTAAATATGATCCAACGGATTTCGCAAATGGTTCACCTAAACAAAAGTTTATATAGATTTTTCAAAAATATAACATTCATTATTAACAAATGTTCTATAAAAGAAATTCTTAAGTGTCGTGCTGATTAGATTCTGCTGGTAACTTTTAAATGAAAACGATTATATACTTCGAATGTAAACATACTCTAATCTATCATTTATATATCAGACTTTGAATATTGAACTGGAGATAAAAGATATATAGACTCATATGAATACTGTAGTACCACTGATTTGAAAATCTAATTTCAAACATACTGAAAAACATTTTCGATTTGACATATCCATGAATCAAACATTATTCTAGTATAACCTATCAAGTGAAATAAAATCCATCTGACGTGCATGACTTTACTGTAATTATCGAGTCATACATAAATATGTAATGAATCTTCATAAGGCATTGTATACATCTACAATCATATTCATTTATAACAACATGCTTTCATTCATCTCAATTAGAGAATAATGATTATTAATAATTATTAAGTCAAAAGTTAATTTAATAATTCGTCAAATATTACTTTCATTTTATAGAAGTTTTTTAATCAAATATTTTGTTACTAATCCAAATGAAAATTCAAATGTTAGCATTTCAAAAGAAACGTATATATTAATATTTGCTCATACAATAATCAAAATATAATTACCGGTTAGAAATTGTAAACTTATTTGTTTGGGTGCATCAGCTTTAGGATATTTTTCAATAAGATTTTCATAAAGTTTTGTTTTATCATCAATATCCGTGAAATGTAAACATTCTTCTAACATATAATAGTATTTTTTATTTTCAGCATTACGTTCAATTAAATCCCGTAAAATTGTTTCAGCTCGATCATTTGTACCCAAACGCATATATAAATCATATTTTATTTCTGCTAAAGCTAATTTATTATATATATCTTTTTCATGCACTTGTATATGGCGTAAAGCATCTTCATATTGTCCACTTTCACGTAAAACAAGATTTTGATATAATAAATATTCTGAATGTTCGTTATCATATGGTTTATCTGGTGAAGGTGCTGGACGATCTTGTTGAGTTTTACGAAATTCTTCGAGTACACTTTGTGCCATATCATAATCACCTAATAAATGATAAGACATTGCAAATCCAACCCATGATTGACGTTGACCAGGTTTTAAATTAAATAATTGATGACGTGTTTCCTAGAAAATGATTTCATAGTATAAAATACGTGACTTTTTTGTCTTTTCTATATATTACTTTGTAACCATCAAGATCACGCATTTGAATTTGTAATAATGATAAATCACGAAGAATGGTTAAACTATCCTATCAAAATGAATGGATTATTAAGTAAATAAATAATTTCAAATAAAAATGATATAAGTTTGATATAACAAGTTAATAATTATATATCGCCTACTTTTTCACATTGTAATGCTCTTTTATAAGCTTTTATAGCTTCGTCATATTTACGTTCGGATCTTTGCCATAGACCATAAACATGCCATACCACATGACTCGTAATACTATTTTTGATTCCATTACGAATATTTTCTAAAGCTTCTTCTTTTCTACCCATAGAATTAAGGATTAAGCCTTTCATAGCCAACGTTTCTAGACAATAAACAATGCTAAATTCAGCTGTTTTAAGACACGTTATACATACCGCCATGATTGGGAAATTTTTTTAATATCTCTCTAGCAGCTGTCAAACCTTTTTTGTATTGTTTTTGTTCGTAAAAACGCTATTTAAAAATAAAAAAAAGATCATATAATGGTTCATAAGAGAAAAATTGTAATCATACGACAAGTTTTTTAAATTGACTATTTTCACGTGTTGGTAATTGTTGACTAGGAGACTGAGTTGATTGAGTTGGTGGTGGCATAATTATCTATCTATGAACGAAAGAAAAGAAATAGATATGGTAAACTTACAAGGTGAACTTTTGGAAATATTGTAGCACACCTTTAGTTGTTTTAAACCTTAATTTAAAAAATCAATAAGATTATAAGGAAAAACGGAAATCCTATAATGGAATCACAAGAAAATAAATAAACAATGAAACGCAAAAAAAGAGGAGGTCGACATTGAAATATCGAACATCCAATATTTTGTTGATAATAGGAATTCGAAAAATTGTAATGGTTGAATACAAACTACCAATATATAATTTCAGCATAGATTGCATGGAAACTAGCGCCATCTAAATCGTAGCTTTTGTTTTTCCACTACATATATCAAGATTGTCATAGCTGAAAAGATCGCATAACTTGTCGAATCAAACAGGCGACAAATTTATTTTTGTTTTCTAATGAAAATTTAGATTTTAAGATCAAAAAGTATTAGAAAAGTTAAATTAGATATACCAGCGTAGTTATATCGAATTTTCTCTAGGACGATCTCCGCTGAAATACGGACTCAGTCATCTAAAACAATGGTTCTCCGATGAACCCGAATAGAAAATCATTGCTTCAGCTATTAAACGTCTGAAACAGATGAATGCTCTCGACTCAAAAGAAAACTTGGAAGCTAGAGGTACAGCTATTGATAAACTGCCTGATTTTGGTAGCTTGCCAATGATAAAAGCAGTATTAACAGGTTAACAGGAGTATAATTTTGGGCGAGACATGATCCGACTGGCTGCCATTCTCGATCAGAAACGAATTACACCTTCGCACATGTTCAATGTCGATGATGCTTGTCAGAATATTGGTTTATGAGCCGTAAAACGTATTCTCAAACGTGTTGAAATTCGTCTTTTAATTTTGAAAAAATTTTCCGTGTTTCGAAAGAGTATCGTACTGCAGCTCAAATAACGTCGAATGGAGATTGGGTACCAATCGCTCAAGCTCTTTTAGCTGACTATGCTGATAATGTTTATTTGTCCTGCACAAAATTACATGGCAGAACACACAACTTCTATCGCTATAATGTGATGGCCAAACATGATCAACAACAACGACAAATCGGTATAATTGATTCTACCTTCATATTAGGTTGTCCGGTGAACATCACTCCTATGCCTTTGATAGTGACTCGTGATGTTCTATTTTCACCAGCAGTTCCAGCAACTTCGGGTTTTTCATTCAATGGTGAAATTCAATCAACTTGGTTAATAAAAAATATACGACGCTCTATTACAACCCGTAACAGTGAGAACACGAAATGTCACAAAGAAATCGTTCAAGATGCTGAAGTTCAAGACGTTTCGAAGCGCGTCAGCCACCAATTTACTGGTGGGCAGTTCATCTTACAAGGTACAACAGGTAGCGATGTTTTGTTAACTGAGCTTTATCTACTCAAAAGACAAGTTAATAAACACCAGATGGAATTGGTTAAAACTAATGAGACTGGCGAAAACTTAAGAAGAAATGTCTAGAGTAACATCACAACACTGAATATATTCAATCCGATGAAGTGGTGTTAGCAAGCAGAAAGACAAGTGAAAATTATTTTTTAGAAAGAACAGGATCCATGCAAAGTAATTATTAAAATTCGTGAGGAAAACTGTGAAAAGGTAACTGCTGAATGAAAGTCGTTCACCGGTTGGCTTCGACATTGCATGACCATGCGACATCTTCATTTGAACGCAAACCGACTATGTACGATGCAAAACATTGTTTGTCACACGTAGAAGAGCATATAACTTGTGTCACCGAGAGTAAACGAAGTCGGTATGAATTATGGACAGATGTTCGCGGTCCCCAAACGACGCACGAATCCCACATGGAAGTAGTTGCATGGATAGCCATATGCAAGTTCTACTGTAAATTTGAATGTGGCTTTGTTTGGGACTGGATTGTAGCTCATGAACAAGCGCGACCATCAGGTAATCTTCCATCATCGAAATAGGTTACTATTTCTCTATTGAATGGAATGCTATATCTTGATGAAGCACTTATTCCATTCGATCTCGATTGTCACTTTCGATTGGATTGTTACGTTGATATTGAATCACTTCTCGGCGAAATATTGATCAAGCTTGGAGTTGAGGCAAGAGTATTTGGTGAAGATTGGCGTTATGTAATACTATTCGATGAACAATCATCGGCAGGTCCCTTTACTATGGATCTTATCGAACATCACGTGGCTCTAACCCATGATCGAATCGATTTTGATGTGAACAATCTCTTTGTCAAACAAGACTTTTGCAAAGAGCTTGGCCAACGTATTGAGCTGCGATAGCCTCATTGTTCTATTGATATCGAACAAACTGTTGATAACATACGGCGAAAGGAATTTCGAGTTCTACGTCCGATAGATAATAATAGTCGTCAACGTATGCAAAAAATGCAGTCACATGGATGGGTCCAGAAAGCAGAACATATATCGGTTCTTCCGTCACTACTATCCAAATATAAAGTTGGAAGCAGTGCATGCTCTTCCGAAACAGTCGCCATTGTATGCACAAATAGAAAATGGATTCAAACGAATTGCCAATGCTAAAATCAAGAGTATTTTTCAGATTAATAATCCGGATGTTCTTAGTGCTGTTGAAGTCATGAAAAAACTGATCACTGGTTAATGTTCTGGTAATAATCCAAACAAGCATTGTCTCTATCATGGAACAGCTACGGCTACCACTAAAAGCATCAGAGAAATGGGTTTTAATGATCGATACTTTTCAAAAAGTGGCTTATATGGTATGTCATCGAAGAGACGTCAAAATCTATTAACTTTGTATTCATTCGCCTATGTCGTAGTGCGTACTTTGCCTGCGATCCGAAAAAATCACATCAATACATGCGACTCATCGCTGATAACAAGATGTATATCATGTTCTATAATAAGGTAGTGTTAGGCAAAGAAATGTTCGTGGCTCAGACTGGTAATAGCCTAATCTCTGCACGAGTCGGCTATCATTCCATTCAAGACGTAGCAACTGGCTTCACAGAATATATTGTCTACCGAAATGTTCAAGCTTTGCCATTTTTTCAAATAATATATGAAGCGGATTCTTGAACCAGTACTATTTTCGTCACCCCTATCAACATAGATAACTAAACGAAAAGACTGATTTACAGTTGGCAAAAGAAAACCAATTTTACCTAGCATTCAATACTTGAAATATCAATGAATGAGATATAATAAAATGACTCTAAAAACTGCATTCGACTGTTTTGCTCCTTATCAAAAGAGAAAAAATCATTTTGAAGGCCGATTTGATATCGTTGAGAACATATTAGTTTTTTTTTAGTTCATAATCTACCGTTTCAAAACATCCAGTTACAACGATAATTTCGACATTATAGGAACACAAAAGTTGTATTCACAAAGGAAAAGTTTGCAGTAGATCGGCGTATTTCGGTCTAACATTTGTTCCCCGACTTTTGCCAAAAAAAAATAATGAGTATTTCAAGTAAAAAAAAAATAACAGTTTTATTGTTGACTTCCTATCACCAAGGCAAACAATTCAATAAAGAGGATTCCGATGCGAATTTTGTGGGAAGCTGACGAAAGTCGATAGAATCCCGTCAGAATTATCCAGTATGCCGTCGAATCTGACCATCGGAATCCTGGCCACTAGATTCTCGGTTAATACTGATAGAATTCTGTCAGTATTAAGATGACCAGATAGAGTGCAATGGATTACGTTCGACCCAGATCATTTCGTTTTCGAAACAAGAAAAAGAAATAAAATTTTTCTCTCAAATGTATCAACTGCTACCACTAATTGTCAAAACGGATGATTTTCTTGTCAACTCATCATGTAATGAGTTCACCGCTGTAAATATATTGAACGTTATTAATCTTAGACAAAACTGAGATATAGAGTTTTACATTGTCCGACTGGATTGTACCACAGCAATTTTATATAGTAATCAAACTATTTAGCTGCTCTAAAGTATGTTGAATTCTCTCAAAAGAACACTACAGTCATTGATCTATGTTGGCCGCCTTCAATATCTTTCTATTCTAGATATGGTTGTAACGAAAATGAGAGAGAGATTATGCTTTATTTCGTTACGAATGCTGTGTATTTAATTTTGACCAAAAATGAAAAGCTGGATGAGCAGCGTTACCGCTGCCTTCAACATAAATGTTCACCACAGTACTCCATCATTCCAGTCGCATTTGCTTCATATGGAGCATGAGCTTATAACCAAGAGAGGAAGCGAGGAGAACAGAAAAAAGCACGAATAGAAAACACAAGGAGCTGGCAATTATTATTGTTCATGAGATCAGAGCAACTAGTGGCATGTGACCAAACCAGAGATGTCCATGGCAGCGCTGCAGTGGTAGATCTTTTCAAAAGCCATCACGGTGCGAAAGCAGTGCGAGAGAGATATTTATAATGCTAACGTGGCCGCGTTGCTGCGGCAGCAGCTTTTTTTAAAGAAGGGATCTTAAAAATTCATGAATTTGCAGTGAATCTCGGTTATCATATATGTTATATTGTAATACTTAACAAATCTGATCGATTAGCACTAGTAGTTCTAGTTTAAACCAGTCACAGCCTTGAAAATTAAAACATTTTTTAAAATGCCATCGTGACGGCAGCGAGACAGTGGCGGATTTTCAGCTGCAATGAACATTTATGGACCAAACGTTCTTACATTATTGAACAGATAATAGATGAAGAGATGATATGTCTTAATTATTGGTACAATAGTTACATCAATTTTGTAGAAAGAAAACACCTAGTATACTTAATCATTTCGTTGAGAAAAATGATCATGCGGATGGTTAACATTAATGGCACTCATCTTTACATACTGTTCCCACCAATCAAAATCGAAATGAGGATGCGATGATTTGGATTCTAGCAACCAATATCTACCATCTATTTAGGTACGTAATTGGAGGGTGAGAGTGAGAGTGTGGAGGTGTGGCTGTGGCTTTGGGTGTGGGAAAATGTGTGCATTTCATTTTGGGTGGGATGTCGGTGGGTAGATCAGGTTGAAGCGCAATACCACACCTATATCCACAACCTTTTTCCTCATGAGTAGCCGAAAAGAAATCAGAGTGTCTAAAGGAATTCGATGCTATCGAGTCAAGAAAAACTAATCGTCCCTTAATGAGTTGATGCTGATGAAAATCTGCCATTTTTCTTGAAGTTCATCCGTCTTCATGACGCCTTTAGATATCATCTTGTAGAGTTCTCTATCTACCACTCTCCTGAAAACTCTTATGGGGTGATACTTTATACCTCTTTGCATTAGTCTTTTTAAAACTATGGCGATTTTTTCGCAGTGACGTCTTGCAGATGAGAGAACACGCCGAGTTTGTCACTGATCCAGACTCGAATGGTTTACAGAAGGTAGGAGTTTGAACATTTCCTGTTGGCCGCTCTAGATTAGAACATTTTCTATCAACTGGATCGGAGTTCAAAAACTTTGGATTCGGTAGGTTCTATCCGAAGGTAGTGCGTTCATGACAGATTCTCAGCGTACATTGTACAGCAAATTATATTAGATTAGGAGACCAATTTTTATTGCACTATCTAGAATTTCAGGTAGGAAAGGAATTGTATGCGTACGAGTTTTGGCCAGCAATACATTACTTCTCAAAAAGTCCTCTTGAAGGCTATCTCGATAGCTTTCTTAATTCACATTTCAGTGATTGTGTCAATTTCATGTCCACAAAAGTAGCTGTAGAATCGATATGAGTATGACGTTGTGTCTATTTGAACTAATTTATAGAGGAGTATGTGACTAAAGGGTGTGAGTATGAGCTTAGAGTGTGGGTAGGTGAGTGTAGATGAAAAGAATATCCTAAAATATCATAGCACCCCCACACACGATACCAACAGCCCGCATCGCAATCTGATTTTCCCTCATCCACATTTAACATCCATGCATCAACAGCTATCTACATCCTCGAAATCTCTCTCGATCACTTCATCGACAAAATTTTCAACGATGCTAGAAATAACAAAGAACACAACTATACGTATATAAATTTGTTTTTAAAGCTCTGATAACAATTTTGTGCTGAGTAGAAATTGAAAGACTTGTTGAGAGACCTAGATTCCGACAGAATTAAAATTTCGTAGATGCTGCACTATGCTCACTTTGTTAATATATGCATTCTCCAGGAGGGCTGACAAGTCATGTTTTTGTAATATTTCGCATGAGACTTTCATTACCTACGTATTATTAACTGTTGAAATATTGCATTACACTGGCAATCATCCTCTCATCGAAATATAAAAGAATGCTTGTTTCTTTATATAGAGAAATTTACATATGGCTTTATTAACTCAATGCGAGATGCTCCTAAAGGTTTCAGTACATAATTATATTGAAATATTGATGCAATACGAAACGTATGCAGATCAACAATAGATTTTTTTCTCCACATTACTTTGTCTCACAGCTACTTAACAAATCTATGCATACCATATAAGTTTTTATTAGCCATAGATTCGTGAGATGA